AGGCCGAGGCAGATGGACCACTTGAGGTGAGAAGTTCAAAACCAGCCTTGTCAACATGGTGAAATGCGTCTCTAGTAAAAATATTTTAAAAATTAGCTGGGTGTGGTGGGACTACGTGCCTGTAGTCCCAGCTACTCAGGAGGCTGAGGAAGGAGAAGCACTTGAACCTGGGAGGAAGAGGTTGCAGTGAGCCAAGATCATGCTACTGCACTCCAGCCTGGGTGACAGAACAAGACTCCATTTAAAAAAATAAATAAATAAAAAATAATACATTGCTTCCATTAAGAAAGGTGGTATAAATTGAAGCTGGGTGTAAGTGGGTGGTAACGGGAGGTGTTTCCAGTTTGCACATAGACTTAAAAATTTTCTGGTTGACAGTTGGCTGAGTTCATCTGAAGACCTGGGATCAACAGAAGGAAATGTCTGAGTTGAGAAGTTGTGGAGACCAAAGTTTCATCATGCAGATACAGCCTCCACGTAGCAGGCTTCAGAGAGAATAGATTGTAAATACTTCTTATGAGACTTAAGGTCTGTGTTGACATTGATACTGGAGAGATGTAATGAGACATGTCTGACCTCCACTTCCTTTCATGGCCCGAAGCAGTTCAGGTTACATTTTAAAAGGGCATCCTGCCAAGGAGAAAGTCTATTCAGATGGTTGAGGCGGCCTTAGAATTTTATTTTTGGTTTACAAGTCTTTTTGTTTTGTTTTGCTTGTTTGCTTTCTTGGATTTCCTTGAGGAAAAAGAGTTGGTAAAACGATGAGCCACATAACCTAGATAGTTTGTCCTTTTGTATCTTCATAACTCCTGTTAACTACAAAACTTAACATAGCCCCTTTAAACTGGAGTTCATCGGAATCCTTCACATGGCTTTCTGGGCCCAACAACCCAATTCGAAGAATCGTTTGTTCCATCTTTCTATTTTGCTTTGTTTAAAAAAATTTGTCAGACAATATTTTTCTGGGTAATTTCCTTGCTGTCCAATCCCTTCAAATTATTTAAAGTTAAGCAGTGTAGCTGGATGCAAAACTCTAGCTTTTATTATGTGCATAGGAGATAAGTGTTATTGTTGTTTGTCTGGGATATTTTTACATTGTTTTCAAACGGACAGGTCATATCCAAATCAACTGAAAAAATAAACTTTCTAGGAGACAGTGTTCAGATGAAGGTTACTTTATGCTTGGGATTGAAAAGTAAAGCAGTCAAAATTTGAAGTGTATTGTTTTTTCTCCCCTTTTGGTAACCATGGGAATAGCACAGTAACTTATACACAAAGCTTGCAGGAAGGAATAACCTTGGAAATTCTTCTACTGCAGAATGATTTAAACTTTGTTGTGACACATGAATCATGGGGTGGTGCTTTCTGTCAACATTCTTTGCTCTTCTGAACCAGAAAAGCCAGTATCTGTCTGGTTACTGGTAGAGCCAATGCTGCTGGGAAACAACTGTGACGGTGGAATTTTTCTGAAATCATTTTGAAATAGTTGCATGCACGTAGGAACTCCCATATAATATTTCACCACAGGTATCTTTTGGACATATTATTGATATTCTGTACTATACAAAATGACACTTTGAACACTTAATTTCTATTTTTAACTCAGAGAAAGAAAAAATATTTCAAGAAATACTTTTAACACCAGAACAATATCTAGGTATTATACATGATAGAATAATGTATTTCTTTCAGTTAATTTTAATTCATTATCTTCACTGTGCATCTCCTAGAGAAGACATATATATATAATATATATTATATGTATATATGTACATATATGTATATATGCATATATTATACATTATATATATAATACATATATTTATATATGCATATATATAAATATAATACATATATTTATATATGCATATATATAAATATAATACATATATTTATATATGCATATATATAAATATAATATACATACATATATACATATAATAGACATATAATATATGTATACATGTAATATACACATTTATGTATATATGTATATATTATATATAATAGTATATATCATATATAATATATCATATACACCTTATATAGTATACATAAATATATAGTAATATAATATAATATATACATTATGATATATTTTATATAAGTATATATAATATATATTACATATATATTATATTTATACAATGTATAAATGTATATTATATATACATTGTATAAATTTTTAAATTCAAGTGAGTTGAAACATTCTTTTTTCTTTTGTGGAAATTATTGCTTTGTATTATACCTTTTCTTCAAAACCAAGATTAAATGTAAAAGTATATTAAAGACATTCTAGAGATTATTAAATTAGGTCTCTATAGTGGGTTTTGCCCATTAAATAGGAAGATGGGGATCTGAGAAAAATATGTGGCTAGATCTTGCAGCCAAATAATTTTTTTAAATTTACTTATCTTAATATTTTATCAAAAATCTTTTTTTTTTTTTTGCTGTTGAATAGGAACTTGCATTTCATACTTCACATTACATTTATTGACACAACTTCACTACAAATCATTCTCCTGACAATCCCACAAGCATGGGGGCCTCAGAACTTTGGGAGTCAAGGTGGGAGGCTTACTTGAGGCTAGGAGTTCTAGACCAGTCTGGGTAACATAGCAAGATTCTGTTTCTACTAAAAAAAAAGAAAAACCATACCAAAATAACTTTAAAAATATTTTCATACATTAATAGGTTTATTAGTTTTTCCTTCACTGGCTTTTCTATTTTCATAATTCTTTCATCTAGCTTTTTTTTTGCTAGAATGCTAATACATGTTCATCTAAGACAGTACATTAAATGTCTAAACTCAGGGGACAACTTTCATTTCACTTCTCCCATGCCCAAGCAATGGTTCCAAACATCGTCACCTTGTGCTATGTTAGTCACAGGAAATCTAGTATACACACACACACACACACACACACACACATATGTAGAGGGAACATGAGTTTGTTGAATTAAGCAAACTAGGAAAGAGTTTATATATATATATTATATAACATTTCATATATGTCTACATATATACATATATATAATACATATATCATTATCTATACTATATATAAATGCATATTATATATATAGAGAGAGCGCTACTAACTGGCTTTAGTCTTTTACACTTATATGTATCTTCTTTTGTTCTCATGTCCAAAGTGCCTTCGCTTGGAAACCATTTTGGCTTGTCTCTTTTGCCCACTCTTGCCCATTAGCACATTTGCATGCATGAGCTGGAGATATTTGACTTTGGGATACAGATCCTAGGAACTCACATGTAATCAGGATGTGAATGGAGACATTCTTGCTACCGATTCGTCTAGATAATCTTCCATTGTCACTAGTCAGTCATTGCAACACCACTGGATTTTATGAATCCACTTTTTCTGTGAATATTGAATACTGGAAAAGTTTCTACCATCCAAACAAATTTTCAGCTGGCCTTACTTGTTTGCAGCACTCACACCAAACTGCATGAACATCTGCAATACCTTTAACATTCAATTGTCTTCATGTATTTGCACACTCATCTTCCCTACAAGACTGTGATTTCCTGAAAGAGGAGACAATTGATTCATCATTGTTTGTTGCCTTGTGCTTTGATCAGTGCACAATGTATTACATATGCCCAATAACTGACAAATGAAGATCTTCCTCTCCTCTAACTGGTTTGATTTAAAAAAACAAATAGTTTCTGTAATCACTTGGAAATCATTATGAGCTTATAAAAGGAAGTCTCTAAATCTACCCTGATTCTATTACAGAAATCACTGCTGGGTAATATATGAAACAGAAACCCATAAACCATCCATGGAGATGAAATCACCACAGTGCTGTGTTGGACTTTGTCCTATGAATCTTCTAGGAGCAGGTGGTCATGGTATACTGCGGGAGGGAAGAAGACAGAGAAAGAAGACAGTTTTCTGGTGCCTGGTGTGGCTTTGTCAAAATTCCAAAACAGATCAAGTTCATTTGGGATATACTTTCACATTTTATTTTTTTTATTACTGGCAATTGTCTCTCAAACCATGCTGTGCAGTTCTTACCCGCTCCCCACTCCCACTCCCTACCTCCACAATGACGTTTTTGTGTGATATATTTTCACTATAAAATCTCTGCAGGGGTGGGTGATGAGAAAGGCTAAAAGAAGAAGCTAATTTTAATGAGAATGACAGAATCCCTGATTAAACTAATATCCACTAAGGCTTAAATGACTAAGAGCATTATTATTCCTCTGTTATTTGCATTTTGAAGTCTTGTCCCATAGCAAATTATACCAGTTCCTGCTTTCCACAAGTTCCTTTCTCCATGTCCAGTGTTTAGAACTGAGAGTTGCTACACATCTAAATATTCCTCACAATGTCTGCTATGAATCAGCAATTTTGCATAAAGGTGAATGAGGGTTCCGTGGAAATGGAATTCTGTGCGCCTGACACTCTGATGGATAGCTTTATGTTTAGAAGTCAGGAATGCCGGTATGTGGGAAAGTGTTGCTGTTCAGAACTCATTTCGGTCTCATTTCATAGTCTTTGCAGCTTAAAAAATAATCCAATGAAAATCTTTGATGGGGAATCTAGCCTTCAAACAAGTTTTCTTTATTCTTTTGTGATTCTAGAAATTTGATTTTATCAATTAGGGAGGGTTTAAGTTTCTTGAGTGTCTCTAGGGAGTTTCGTGTTTTACACTTCAGTAATTCCCATCACATTATGAGTATGAACAAGCCTCAGACATCAGAAATCATGGCTAGTCTCCTTGAAGGGTCCAAAAGAAAATAATGTTTTTTAGGTAAATAATATGGATGTGAAAGGAATATATGAACTGCAATGGTATTGTCTTACCTTGTTCTCCTTTATAAATAATATATAGAGAAATTCTTATTACATATATGTTGTGAATATATTACAGTCACACCGATTTACATGTAGAATTGATATATATAGCTGAACAAATACATATAACAAATACGTATTTTTATATATATTTATGTTACATTTATATATATGTATGTGTGTATATGTATGTATAAATATTACATAGACAAACAAAAATATTGTTATTTCTGAAGTACAATGATGATGTTCATGTTAAAAGTTTGAGTGTAAATTAATCTCCAGCCCTGTAACCAACTCCAACTCCAAACTCCTCTTCTCAACAAAGGGCTATGCTGGGGAAGGCTAAACAGCTGTGTGATTGAGAACATCTCCCATTCCCTCCTGCCCTCAGCCATGTACTTTTAATCAATTTTGAAATAAGACTGTAGTATGAGTTAGTGTATTGCCTTGTCTTCTTGACATATTCTTTCTTGTTCAACTGGCATCCCTTTGTGGTCTGAAACAGCAGACTCTCTTCTATAACTGCATTCCTTACTGTTATTTTTAATTATGTTTCCATTTGGTCCACAAATATTTATCAAGGACCTACTTTGTGCATACCAAGATGAGAAAGACATCTCCGTCATCTTTGGTGAGTTCTGAGCCTACAGAGACACACTGTCTTGTATTATATTATGTGCATAGAACTATATATTATGACTATGTGTTCACGTTTACAGGTTTAGGATTCTTCTGTAAAGGTATATGTATTCAGATGTATTGAAATGTAAGATAACTACATTTGTAGATCTCGGACCAGATTTTTTAGAAAGTCACTCTAAAGAGAAGATAAAGTGCATCTTACAAACAAAAAATAGAATTTTTAGCCTATGGAAAAAAACAAAAATGTGCATTTTTCTGACAATGATTGGTGAGTTTTCAAATATCTATAGCCTAAGTTATTAAAGTTAAATAGTAAAACAATATATCTTCATAAATTCTTGTGTAACTTTGGCTTTATAACTAACTATGTTATTGATCAAATGTGGTTTCCCTTTTCTAGGGAAAAAAAGGCCTTTAAAAATCTCATATAGCTTATTGATGATCAAGTGCCTTGTAGAAAGTAACATTTTGATGAAGAAAGTGAGAATAAATCAGGAACACATGGATTTCATTTATCTCCAAATGCACAGACTTTTTAAGAGGTTCTGAGGGAAGTCCTGGCAAAATGCCCTTGATTTAGAGTATAAAACATATTTTAAAAATACACAAAAAAGTGGGTAACAAAAGCTAAATATATGGAGTCTGTAATACATTGGATTGCTTTCCCATTCAAACATGTCTAGGACTATTGTGGAAACACACAGTCACATCCTGGAATGACTAGTCCTTGCTAAAACTTCAATTCTGTGTTAAATGTGTGCACTGGCTCAAAAGGCAGCCAATTATGCACTCTTCCAAATATCACCCTGAATAATGCAGGATTTCCAAAATGTGACTTGGAAAACCCCTTACTAGTGGCTGGGGTGGGGTGGGTAGATAGGTTGTATGTGTACATATGTGTGTGTGTAAAACATACAGCAACATATATTTAGAAATAGGGCACTTGCATCTCAATAATGCATTCTCATACCACTTTTCTGATGTTTTTGCATTAATTTCACTTATATGTGCAATGTTAGTCATTTTCTTATCTCATTAACGTGTTATGTTAGGCTTCCTGAGAGGTCGGCTTCCTGAGAGGTAGGCATGCACATCTCAGCCATTGGAAGAGGATGAAGAGGAGATCAGGGCACCATCTCCCTCTCAGGTATGGACAGTGGCTTTGTTTGTGAGGTTTCTCTCCTCCCTGCTGTACTCTTTTTCACCTGTAGCCCATGTGATTCCAAGCTCTCTGAAAGAGCAGTGAGTCTGTGCATATGTTACCTGCACAAAAATTTACATGTAGATGTAATTTTCCTGTAAAAGTTCCTCAAAGCAGAATAGTTTCATGGTGCTCTACTCAGCCTCCATGTAACAAGTGCATCATCCTTCTCTGCTCCATCCCCTTCAAGGCAGGAGGAGGACACTGACCAGCCCCAGGGACAGATGAATGACAGGAGGAGATGATTCATAAAACAGACTGGAAAGAGGGCAGTGACACATGGTGGGTGGTCCTCAAGCCTAGTTACCTGGAAGGCCAGGTAATCAGAAGGTGGCCCAAAGCATGAGGCCCCTGGCTTAAGTTCTCCATAGCCTCCAAGTGTTTGACACTATAGCATTGCGCCCAGAGATAACTCCAGTGGTCTTAAAATTGAACCTGAGCCTGGGGCAGAATAGAAATTGGAATCTCTGACATCATTTTCTCTGTGAACCCTGTGAGCAACTGCCTCCTTCTCTGTGTGTGATTCCCTGAGATCCACAGCTTCCCTGGAGCCTGTGAGGTGCAGAGCACCTCCATGATCATGAAGAACAGATGAACTCTTTTCCACACTCTAGTGGAAGCCTGTCTGTTCAGTCTTCATTTGGGTGAATATTTTCTTTAGTAAGTACAGTCAGAACTTCTTGAATCATAATTTAACATTTTCATGATAATATCAGGAATTAATCACATTCTGTTGCTCACATCTTGATTATACATTCTTTCTTCAGAACACTGTAAGATATCTGATCTTAAATAACAAGGTTTTGGAATTTACAAAAGATTTATTTCATTCTTTTCTAACCGAAAAATAGAGAGGCCTAATTCTTGCGTTGGCCCCATGAAGAGGCTAGCACCAGATTCTTTAAGGTACAGGCAGGAGGAAAGCATATCTTTGCATCTCACCCACAGATCTGGATCTTTATTCATCCTGGCTTTCATTCCAATAGAGGGGACAATGGCCTGCAAGTCCCTGGAGACTAGCAGAAGAGCATGGTAGGTAGATCCCAGAGCTTTATTGCTACCAGATCAATGGTGGGATCACCATGAGTACCTGGCAGTCAGACTTCCCATCCCCAATGCTCTACGACATATGGATCCATGTTTGACCAGGGAATTCCTGGGCCTGAGCTTCTGGTACCACCATCCATTGCATCCTAGGGTGATTTTCTCCCAGTCCTCCCTAGTCATCAGCCCCAGAAATGTCTGCAGAGGAATAAATTCCTGGCCTTGGAATAGCACACTCTCCCAGTCTTGTAAATGGGGCAAAGCTGGAAGGACCACAAGCTTCCCAGCTGTGAGATTCTAGACACATCTTCCAGCCTGTCACATCTCCTGCCACTTCTCCATCCGTTTCTCTATCAATGGCCTGCAATGTTTTTTGAACATGCCCTGTGGAAACCTTGGCCCAGCACAAATACAAACACAAATACTGACTACGCACTATACACACCAGAACAATAATTTCTCAAAACATTCCTTACCTTTTTATGGTAATGAACTCTGAGATTGTTTTTTCTGTTGTTCTGTTTTCCTTTGATTCTTACCATGACCCACAAAACTGACTTCATGACCTAGCTCTGATCACAACCTATGGTTTTAAATGTAGTGCCTTATGTGACGTGGCTTACTTGCACATTAGAAAACATCTAAATAATATTAATAATGAGAGCTGGGATTTATGTAGCATCTACCACATGTCAGGGACCGGACTAGGTGCTTTACACAACTCCTCTCATCTTTACGATATCTTTGAATGGTAGATATAATTAAACTCACTTTACAGATGAGATATTCAAGTTTACATAACTTAAAAATATTTAGATTTTATAATGTAGTACAGATTTTTTAAATATTTCTATTTACAAAAACTGAGTGGAGTTATATATGTGTGTGTATGTGTGTGCGTGTGTGTGTGTGTATATGAAGATTGTGTGTGTGTGTGCATGTATACATATATATGTATGTAATTTTTTTTCCTGTAAGATAGTGAATAGATTCAGAAGAAGGTAGATTAATTGGCATGGGCAGGAGAGGACCTCAAGAGAAAAATAACCTAGTGAATTTTGTGTAATTACTCATAAAATGATTTTAAGGCTTGGAGAAGTACCGCTACAGAAGAAAAGCCTGTCATATGTAAAGCAGTAGAATTTTGGAAGGCCTAATCTTTTTCTGGAGAAAAAGTTTAAAATATTTGTTTTGGTCTCTCTCATAAGATTTCATAAACTATCTTCTATCTTTGTATGGACGTGAGTGTGCTGCCTAAACTTGTCTCAACATACTATCAACAAACCAGGTAAAAATGGAAAACAGCATCAGAGTCAATGCTGCTTGGTCAACTGGTCTCTAAGCACTTGCTTAGGCTGACTACCTTCAACAGGAAAATTATTCAAAGGTAGCAACATCGACTGCTTTTGTTTTTGTTCTATTTTGTTATTTAATCTTCATGACATCATTGATGCTAAAAAGTAAATCCCTGGTGATTTGTAAAGGTATTCTGTTCCTCTGGCCACTAAAATACTCCCAGGTCCAAAAGCCAGGTTGTGGAGTCACACAAGGAAGCTGCTTCCTCACTGATGTCCTAGTGTCTTGCTGGCACCTGCCTAGCATTCTATGTTTCTGTGCTAGGTTAGATGCTGTTAAATGTGTTGCTTTTCCCCAGCCCAGAGGTTTGGCCTCTATCTACACCATAAGATTATTATGCTTTACAGCACCATTAAAAAAGCAAGCAATTTGTCTGTATCATTCTCTACACCCTAGAATAAGTCTTCTTGACCAATAACCAGTGAGGTACAATCTACTATGGATCTCCAGCTAAAACCTCACTCCTTTGTCCCCTTCCTTGGTTGATGGAGCTCCCCTACCTCCCAGTCAGAGCCTTTCAATGATAACCAAACTCTACGTATCCAATGACAGTCATAGGTCATGAAAAAATCAGAAGTTGTTCACATTAACACAGTCTGCTGACCAAAACCCATGATATAATAGCAGCAGGAATTTTTGATCATTTTCCTCTGCCTTATTTTGAGAAAAAAGACAGGTGGGGTTGAAGGAAAACAGTTATAATTGATTAGGAAAGAAGTTACATGCTTTTAGGGAACTTTCAGCCCTTCATGTGACTTTTTGGGAAAAAGCAAACTATAAAGGCCAGTTAAGTTCCAAATGTCTGTGGGGCATGTCCTGTAATGAGTCAAGAGAAAAACATGACAGAAGAGCAATAGAAAAGAAGAAGCCCCCTGCCCTACACAAATAAAATCCTCCCCAGAAGAGAGTGGTAAAGGTTCTTCTTAGAAAAATGGGAGCAGCATGGATGCAAGTAAATTATTGGACATAATGATCTTAATAAAGACATATCCATACAAGAACTAACAAGGAGTTCCCCAAATAATTACAGAGAGTAAGTAGATATCCTGTAGCACATCATTAGCAATATTTTTCTAAAAGTCTAATTGTTATTTGTCTAGAGTTCCTGCAGTTGTGATAGTGTGGTGATGTGTAGGAGCACACATGTGCTTATTCATCTTGAATTTTCTAGTTCTCTCTCAGAATGACTTAGAATGGCAGCAGTCACAAAGTTAAAGGATTCTGGACACATCTTTAATTGTACTTTTTTTGAGTTTCCCTGGAATTATTTTTAAAGAAAGAATGAATCCTGAAATATTATTTTTTAAAATGTTTAATTGTTATGGATACATACTAGTTGGGCATATTTATTGGGTACACGTAGTATTTTGACACAGCATACAATGTTCAACGATCCAATTTGGATAATTGGGGTATCCATCACCTCAAGCATTTATTATCTCTTTGTGTTAGAAACATCCCAATTGCACTTTTTTAGTCATTTTGAAATATAGAATAAATTATTCTTAACTATAACTGCCCTATTGTGCCACCAAATGCTAGATTTTATTCCTTCTATCTTTATTTTCGTACCCTTTAACCATTCCTTCTTTATTCCTTCTCTGCACTACACTTTCCAGCCTCTGGTAACCATCATTCTACTCTCCCTCTCCATGAATTCAGGTTTTTATTTTTAGCTCCCATATAGAGAGAACATGCAATATTTGTCTTTCTGTGTCTGGCTTATTTCACTTAACATAATGAAATCCTGTCATTTGCAACATGGAAGGAACTAGAGAACATTATGTAAAATATTATTTTTATTTGTTTATTATACTGACTTCCTTAAATTAAAAAATGTTTTAAATTTTTTTACCTAGTAAATTGCAATCTACTGATGGGTCACTGTATTAGTCTGTTCTCACACCACTGTAAAGAAATACCAGAGACTGGGCACTTTATAAAGAAAAGAGGTTTAACTGACTCGTGATTCTGCAGGCTGTACAGGAAGCCTGGCAGCTTCAGCTCTCAGGGAGGCATCAGGAAACTTACAATCATTGTGGAAAGCAAAGGGGAAGCTGGCATGTCTATAGGGCAGGAGCAGGAGGAAGAGGAATAGGGGAGGTGCTATACAATTTTAAACAGCCAGATCTCATGAGAACTCTATCAAGAGAACCACAATAGGGGAATGGTGCTAAACCATTAGAAACTGCCCCCATGATCCAATTACTTCCGCCAGGCTCCACCTGCAACATTGGGGATTACAATTCAACATGAGATTTGGGTAGGACACAGATCATCCAAACCATATCAGTCACAATGCCAGGAATTACTCTTGTTCCCTTTTCTTGACCTGTAGGAATTCCCTTCTCCATCAAGCACTTATGATGACATAACTTCTTCCACTTCTTATGTGACAATTAGGACATCAAGTAAACAATAAGTCATCAAGTATAAAAAGAGCTGATAGGAATTCTGACAAAATGCTAAGAGGATTTTAAACTTCCATAAGGCCATCTACTCTTGTCAACCTGTGATTAAATAAAATATATGGTGCCCTCAACTCC